TCTTCCATTGCTGGAACAATTTATTAAAAAGGCAAGCAAGCCCTTTATGTTCATAAGAAGACAGTAAAAAAGCAAAATATTAAAGTTACCGTGTATTTTCTTCCCCCATCTGATAATGTTTCATTCTATTTGAACTGAGTCAGAGGCTACTCAGTGACACATAACAACTAACACAGTATCTATTGTGTCCATGTGACCCAACTGCTGATGCTAGAGATTGGGAGAATGTTGATATGGAACAAACTAATGAACTTGATCTTTTAAAAGGGCATCTTTATGCCTCCTTATAGCATGCTTTAAGGCCAAGCATCTCCTGAAATACATTAGTCTGTAGAAAGATAGCATCTCCCCAACAAGGGAAAAGATCACTGATCTTTTTATACTTTGTGCTGCAACATTCGTCATAGACTCATGTATTTGGAATGTGTTCAAAAACCACTTAATTAAATTCACTGGGACTTTCAACAATAGTCTGAAAGACACCTATACGTAAAATTTCTTCTAGGTCAATCACATAATTAGGTTCTAGAGGCTGTAACAGGATGGAAAATCATTTCAGTGTCATTTTAGACTATCCTACTTAAGAATAGAACATGTGCAAGGAATAAAGTTCTGAAGGTTGGGAAGGGTAGAATAGAAGGATTAATAGAGATGAGAATTACAGGAAAAAAGTTAGGGAAGTGCAATTACAATGTGCCTAAGGTAATTAATGTTATAAAACAAAACACATATGAACTATTGACTTTAAATACAATTTGCCTTATAGGCATCGACTCAAATCACAATATAAAAGAATCAAATAGCAGTCCAATTTATTTTATTCCAAGTGAATATGAAGATAAACTTCTTTCTCCACATTGCCAGAACAAGTTTTTCTTTCTCCTTTATTTAGCACAAAATTATTTCTCCCTGTAAGTGCTATTAGATACTTTAATTTTACCTTTAGTTTACATGTAATAAACCAATTATTCATCCAGTATTCATGTTTTTCAAATATTTACTGACAATCTATTCTGTACCAGGTACTGGGCTGTGAAATGAGTGCAAAATTGTTAACAACAACAAACTGGAAAAAGAAAAAAGTCCCACCAGCAACGATTTTATATTCTTCTAAAAGAGTCAAGCAATAAATAATGGAATGGCTTCTTCAAGCAATAATGGTAATAAGTACTTTTAAAATAACACTCAGAATACAGGGACAGAATATAAAGAGAGGACCGTACTGAAATCAAAGAAAACCTCCTTTAAAATGTAATGTTCAAAATGAGAAAAGTTGCATCCATGGGACGCACTGTTACACTATTGCATTAGAAACAGTTTCTAAAAGTCAAGACGCAGAAAGGACAGGGTGCCTAGAGGCTGACAAAAAGGAAAAAGAAACAGGTTGAAAAGATGAATGGGAACCAAATCCGGGCAAGAAGTATTTTGGGAAACAAGAGTGAGTCCAAAGGTCAAAAAGCAATCACAAGGTCACCCCAACTTGAAGGAGACAACATGGGAGAAAGTGGTACTGGATGATATCAAAGAAATGGTTATTAGTTGGGTACCAGTCAACCAAGTTCTTATAATCAAAAAAAGGTCAATGAAAACTCAATATACTCAATTCAGGTCCTAATCTTTTCAATCACCTGCTATGCATCTGTGAACTGGATAATGAATAAGGATAATAGAAGAATTGATGCTCTTGACACGTGATGTTGGAGAAGAGTACTGAATATTCCCTGGACTGCCAAAAGAACAAACAGTTAAAAATCGGTAAAAGTAAAACCAGAGTGCTCCTTGAAGGAAAAGATGGTGAAACTTTGTCTCTAATACTTTGGATATATTGCTGGGAGAGGCTATTCCTTGGATGTCAGGCTTGGAAAGGTGGAGGATCAATGAAAGAGAGGAAGGTCCTCAATAAGATTGATTGACACAGTGACTGCAGCAATGGGCTCAAGTTGTCCGAGATTGTGAGGACGGCAAAAGATAGAACAGGGTTCAGGTCTGCTATTCATAAAGCTACTGTAAGTCATACTCAGCAACATCTAACAACAACAACAACACTTTGTTGTTTGTCATTCACATATTTCCACTAAAGATGTCAGTCCATAGAAAGCACTGTTACACTGTCTTGAGAAGGCAGCTCTTCCGTGGTTACACTTTGAGGGCTTTCTAATCTGAGGCACTTGTCTTCTGGCCCTATATCCCACAGTGTTCTTCTGTTATTAACAAGGTTTTTCAGGGCCTGCAGTTTCAGATGAGGTGGTCAGTCCTGTTTCGTAGTTTGTTCTAATCTAGAATCTCCTCTGAAATCTGAACAACATGGGTGAGTCTGTCAGTTTTTAAAATACCAGTGTTAGCATTTCCAACACCACCACAACCCACAGCAAACTGATAGACTTATGTACTCAGGTTAAATAAGGCTGAAAAAAAATTGGGAAAAGCAAATCTGAATTTATCTAGTAGGACAATAATAATACTAACTTAGTTGATTTTATAGCTCCAAATTTTTCAATATCATCTGAAATTTTATATTTATATGACTTTCAAGGCTTAATAAGGACTCAAAATATTGACATGCAAAAGTTCTCTATTGGAGTGTCCAAAGTTCAAGAAAAGTAAAAAAATGGGAGTTTGTACCTGTACAAGAAAGTAGCTATTCGTCTCCAGAGAGAGGGGCAAGGTAAGAGATTTTAACCCAAACAAAAAAGATTTCTTATCATTCTAGTAATTTAAAACTATAAAACTATATCAAATTTACCTCACCTGAAACTTGATTAACAATATTGTTGTTGTTATGTGCTGTCATGTTGCCAACAAGGCATAGCGACCCAATGTACAACAACCCTAAATCCAGCTCTATCTTGTGTCATTCTCACTGCCTCCAACACACCCACCCTGATTATACCAGTCACTGAATCAATCCATCTCATCGAGGGTCTTCCTCTCCTGCACTGTCCCTCCACATTCCCAAGCATGACGTCCCTCTCCGAGGACTGATCTGTCTTTGTAACATGTCCAAACTATATCAGACAAATCTTCAGAATCCTTGCCTCCAAGGATCAGCCTGGTTTAACCTTCTCCAAAGCAAACCTGTTCATTTTCTTAGCAGTCCATGGTATATTCAATACTTTTCTCCAACATCACAGCTCAGAAGCATCAATTCTCCTTCTATCATCCCTAGTAATTGTCCAGCTCTCTAATGCATAACAAGTGATAGAGGTCTAGTCTCTCCACATCCTCACCAGAACTAATTGTCTCCTGTCCCACTGATATTTGCTATTGTTGTTGGGGTGAGATGAGATCTCATTGTTGTCTTGATTTGCATCTTTCTAATAACTTGAAATCCCAATCTTTCTGTAAACTTTCACTAAAATCACAATTTAAAAAAATAGTATCTGGAAGGCTTGATCCAACTGAAGCCTCACATCAAAGCATTGTTCTTGACATGGATATGGAAAAAATATTCTACATTCTATAAAGGTTAAAGGAAATTTAAAGTAACATAGCAATTTTATATTTTTATTGCATTTTGAGACAACACAGCAAAAACTATTACTATTAACAACCAAATTTCATTAACCACTTAGTCACTTCTAAGATCTTAACATTGCTTAATTTACTTTATCCTGACAGTACCTCTCATTCTTCTTTAACTGAAGCTTTTTAAATGGTACTCTACCAAAGTTTTCTCTATATGTGGCAAAACAAACATTTTAATGCAGGGATGTCCTATGTAATGCTCTTAATCATTTTAGCATGTTAGAACACATCTATCCCCCCCTTTTTTTTTTAGACTGCATATATCTCTTATTCCTCCAAAATGTCCCCAAAAGAAATTACACATATAATCTGTATATATCTATTTAGGGGACAGGGGAGAGTGGAGTTAAAGGGTAAGAAACACTTGAAATGAATTGATAGTTAAAACATCAGGGTTTTTCTCCAAATGACAGCCCTTTCCCTTTGAAAGCGGAAAATCAATCTTAATATGAAAGAGGATTAAAGAAGGAGAAAATGAACCAATCATATGAAAAAAAAAAAGAAGGAGAAAATGGAGAATAATCACAAGCATTCCATTTTGTTTTCTTTGCAATTAACAAAGTAAAGAAAAAAATGTATTACATTGAGTCAAAGCCAATTCATCACAGGCCAGCACTCCAGCAGGTTTTGAAGCCTGTAAATTGCACAGGGGGAGGTTGACCATCATTCTCTGTGGAGCCACTGTTCAATGGGTTAGCATTGAATTAGCAGCACAACTCTCCACCAGGGTCCCCAATTTTCAAAGTTGTTATGTGCTGTTGAGTTGGAACTCACTCATAGCTGGCTGACCAGCAAGTTTTCAGTGCTGTGAATTATGGGGGAGAGAACCCATCTTCCCCCCCACCCCCCAGAATACCTGGCCAATTGTAAATATCTGTCCTTGGGTTAACAGGGCAGCTTCTTATCCACAAGACATGCGAGCTCTGTGATTGTAGAAGTAGTCTATTTTAGTGTTTTGCAATGCCAAAGTAGTGGGTCTTCATGGGAAAATGTATAAACGTTGGAGAGTTCCACAGTTCCAATAACTTCTGATGTGAAGATATTTTCAGGAAATTTCTTAAAACATGATTTCATAAATGACTGAGGATGTAAACAAAAGCTGTAGCACCAGTGTTCAAAGTGTTTGTATAGATCACCTGATTCAGAAACATCTGTTTAACTTCATTAAAATATGGATATGTAAACATAAGAACGCTAAATTAGAATGTCTAGTGTTGAGTCCTGGAAATCTGCTTTTTAGTAATATCTAACTGATTCTGCCAGTATTGAAAAGATCAACAATATATAAATCTAAATGAACATTACCTAATAACAATATATAATATCTATTTGAACTTCTCCTAAAAGGACTTATAGGTCAATATCCAAGAACTTTGACAAGTGGTAACAGACTATGATGTGAATTGCCTGATCCTAAATGGTAAAAAATAATCTTATTTTCACCATTTAAAGTAGAATGTCATTGTATGTTGGCATTATTTTTTCTTAATTAAGGTCACTTTTTGACCCCAAAGTTTCTTCATTGCATTTTTCACTTCTGCATTTCTGAGAGTATAGATTAAAGGGTTTAACATGGGAGTGATCATAGTATAAAAGACAGCCACAGCTTTATCAACAGAAAAGGTAGTCGCTGGCCGCATATACACAAAGATACAGGGCACAAAGAATAAAACGACCACTGTGATGTGAGAGCCACAAGTGGAGAGGGCTTTGCGTCTCCCCTCCATGCTGTGAGTCCTTAGGGAGTGCAAGATGACCACATAGGACACCAGCAAGAGAAGGAAATTTAGCAGGCATATGAATCCACTGTTGGCGGCAACAAAGAGACCAAGGATATGAGTGTCCATGCAGACAAGTTGCAACAAAGGGTTCAAGTCACACATGAAGTGATCGATGACATTGGGGCCACAGAATGGCAGCCAGACTGTGAAAAGAATCTGAATGGTCGCATGGACAAGCGCTCCACCCCAGGCCACTGCCACGAGGAGGCTGCACAGCCTACGGCTCATGATGGTGGCGTAGTGCAGGGGCTTGCAGATGGCCACGTAGCGGTCATAAGCCATCGCTGTCAGCAGGATGATCTCAGCAGCACCGAAAAGATGCTCCGCGAAGACTTGAGTCATGCAGCCCCTGAAAGAAATGGTTTTTCTCACAGCAAGAGTATCCGCTAGCATTTTTGGAGTCATGGATGAAGAGCAGCAGCCATCGATAAAGGATAAATAAGACAGGAAGAAGTACATGGGAGACCGTAAAGTGCTGCTCGTACCGATGGTGACCATGATGAGCAGGTTACCAGCCAGCGTAACCAAGTAAACCATGGAAAACACAGCGAATGAAAGCTTCTGAAGTTCCAGATTCTGGGTCAGCCCCAGGAGGACGAATTCGGTTACATTAGTCATCGTCTTCCTCAATTCAAGTGACAGGTAATGGCGCTAAAAATAAGATACACCTGTCTTCAATAATGATAGCTTTATTTCTTGAACAAAGATGGCCATGGGAGGCTTTATTCGCCCTCCAGTTTTACAGTAGGTAAATAAATGCAAAATAATATCAATAGTTTGTTTTTTCCAATCTGCTGATGATGCTGTAGGTGGTATTCAGTTAACAGCAATTTTCCAGTTTTTTAAATAATTTCCTATAATGAAAAAGGTAACTTTTTACATTGGAAAGAATAATGCTATGCAATAAGTTTCAACAGCCTGTTTCATAATCAGTCATGTTATTAGCTCCTTTCAAGATGTCAATAGATGTAGAGATTTTACTTAGAGTTGCCAGACATATTTTTAAGACAAAATTCCAGAGCCATTCAACAGATTTTAAACTATGCAAAAAGATTCAGACACGTAGTGTTCTTGTTGTTATGTGCCACTGAGTCATTTATGACTCATAGTGACCCTATGTACAATAGCCCTGAACCCTGCTCTATCCTGTGCCAACCTTATTGTCTCTGACACACCTACACCCATTACCCCAGTCACTGAGTCAATCCATCTCATTGACGGCCTCCCTCTCTTTCTCTGTCCTTCCATCCTTTCAAGCATGATGTTGCTCTCCAAGGACTGGTCTCTCCTTGCAATATGTCCAAAGTATCAGATGAAGCCTCAGAATTCTAAAACATGTAGAGGTAGTTTTAAAACTCTTATGCACCTGCTCTTTTTCTTACTTTGTTGTCTTGGGGATATTTTTTTTTCATTCCTCAAAATTGAAAGGCAATCTTGCTACATTCTCAGTCACTATGTGTTGTCGAATCAGAATGATACATAGGTGACCCTCCAGTGGATTTTCAGAGCCTGTGAATCATGCAAGAGGAGATTGTCCATCTCTCATCCACAAAGAAGCTGATGTATTCAAAACACCAGGCCCTGGGTCTGCACCACAACTCTGTACTCCCTCCCCCACTCGTGCCTTCTTTCTTATCTCAAAGATAGGGATAAACAACACACACACACACACACACATCATTGCATTACCACCATCTGACTGTGTTCAATACCATGGGTACTTAAAAACAATTCTCTTGCCCTACTACTGTGTCTCTCACTCACTCATTACCTTTTATTCAGACCATAGATTTATTACTTTCCATTTATCATTCATTTCTAAATTGATAATGTTTTATTAAAGAAAGTATTATTAAAAGCTAAATAATTTATGTTTTAAAATTTACTCTAGATACAATGGAGCGGTGTTGTTGTTGTTGTTGTTGTTGTTGTTTTTGTTGTTGTGTGTCGTCGAGTCTCTTGCAACTCATAGTGACCCTATGTCCAATAGGCCTGAAACTTGCTCTATCCTGTGCCAACCTTACTGTCTCTGTCACACCTACCCTCATTATGCTAATCACTGAATCAATCCATCTCATCAAGGGTCTTCCTTTCTTGTGCTGTCCATTACATTATGGTAATGGATCATTACCTTAAAGAAAAATTAAGCCCCCCCCCGTAACATATCACAAAAACAAAGATTCTCACCACTAGATCGATTGACAGCATCGTGATGGATGGTGAAGAGATTGAGATTGTAAACAGCTTTAGTTTACTTGTCTCCACAATCACACTCTTGGCACCAGCAGCCAGAAAATTAATAGACATTGCATTGGGAAAGTCTGCTGTCAGAGGCCTTTCTAAAGTACTGAAGAGCAATGATGTCAGTCTGAAGACTAAGGTGTGCTTGATACAGGCCATGGTCTTTGCAAGCACTTTCTATGCATGAGAGAGCTAGACAATGATTAGGGAGGATAGAAGGAGAATTGATGCCTTTCAGATGTGATGTTGGAGAGGAGTATTGAATGTACTCTAAGAGAACAAACTGGTTCATCCTAAATAGGGTTAAACCAGGAAGTTTAACCTCCTTAGAGGCAGATTCTGAAGATCCGTCTTAACATACTTTGGACATGTTACAAGGAGGGACCAATCCTTGGGGAGAGACATTATGCTTAGGAGGGTGGAGGGACAGCAAAGGAGAGGAAGACTCTCGATGAGATGGATTGATTCAGTGAGTGGGGTAATGGGAATGGGTGTGTCAGAGACAATAAAATTGGCAAACGATAGAGTAAGGTTTAGGGCTATGGTACATAGGGTTACTATGAGTTGCAGGTAACTCAATGGGACATAACAACAACAACATTCTATAACATGGATGAACTTTGAACACATCGTGCTGAGTGATATGTCAGTCACAAAATGACAACTATTGTATGATCTCACTTATATAAAATATTTAGAAAAAAGCAACTGTAGAGATAAAAAAGCTTATTAGTGGTTATCAAAGGAGTAGGAGGAAAGAGGAAACAAACACGCAATGATTAGTCACACTTAGCTTCTCTTAAGGATGATGGATATTTTGAGGGTAATGCTCATTTTTATGGTTTAATAACATGATAAATGCCTGAATACTACTATTTAATGCCAGTGCATTGTACATGTGAATATTTTTAAAATTTTTATTGATAGTGACCATCTGAACAAATTATCTGAACCTTGTTCTATCCTGCACCATCTTCATGTTTCCTGACACACAAGAGCCTATTGTGACAGTCACCAGGTCAATCCATCTAGTAAAGGCTCTTCCTCTTCTTTGCCCACCCTCCACCCTTTGTAGCATCCTGTCTTCAAGGAATAGCCTCTCCTAGCAACATGCCCCAAATATGGGAAAAGCCTCATCATTCTTGCCTCCAAAGAGCACTCTGACTGTATCCTCTCTAAGACATATCTGTTTGTTCTCTTGGCTGTCCATGGAATGTTCAGTGCTTTTCTCCAACACCACAGCTCAAAATCGTCAGTTCTTTTTCTGTCATCTCTATTCATTGTCCAGCTCTCAGATACGTAGTAAGTAATTGGAAAGAGTATGGCCTGAAGCAGATGCACCTTAGTCTTCAAAATGACATCATTACTCCTCAATAATTTGGAGAGGTCCCTACCTGCAGATTTTCCCAGTATACTTTTTAAAATTTAATATAAAAGTATTTCCTTTTTCTATAGATATATCTTTCCATCTGTAGCCAATAAGAGAATAAATTAAGACTCAGGAAAATTAGCTAAAACGCTCCAAGGAAATACAAGAGATAAGAATCTAAGTACAAAATTACACTGGTAGGGAGGTAATGACACTACTTCCCCCATGTAGGAGTGGCATTTGACTAACACAAACATTTTGTTTCATTCACTTTTGTATCACCAGTGCTGACCAAAAAGTAAGTTCTCAACAACCATGGTGTAGTGAACTTGGAAGAGGAATTGTATAACAATGAAAACATTTTTCTTTAACTTTTCAAAGAGAAGAGAGAACTGGGACAGGGAGAAATGTGCAACAATGAATGAATGGAAATCCAAAGTCTCTGTAAGCTTTCATTAAAATTAATAAAAATTTTTAAAAGAGGCAAAGGAAAATTAAAGGTAAATAGCTGGTAACAGAAATAAACTTGGAAAACAAATACGATAAATACTCTCAAAAATCCGAAGACATAATTTGGAGTCCTAGATTTAACACTTATTAAACATGTAACATCAACACGTTGTGTGCTTCCATTGCAATTTCTTTACCTGTAAAAGGAGACCTAAATGTATTTTTTGATTAATGGGAAGATAAAATTTTTATAAGCTTACAATGATTGCTGTTATATCACTCTGCTGTTCTCAAAAGGGTTATCAAAGAAACTTAAATAATGTCTCTTAACACTTCTCAAAGATAGTTGTTCTGAAAATGTAAGCTAAGTGAGAAGAAACGGGAATAAAAATGTGGGATGTCAAAAATAAAGAAAAGTTATCACACATTCAAAATTTATATTATTTTATATATGTGTATACATGTATGTGTGATGTATATATTGAATAAATATACATATTTAAACCCTATATATATTAATATATACACATACATACACAGCCTATGTACATATTGGTGGTGTTGATTGCCTTCAAATCGAGCATGACTCATAGCAACCCTATGAACAAAAGGCCTGGAGTCTTTCTATAACTATTGACGTTTATCAAAGTTTGTAGAGTTTCTGGAGACACATTTAGGAAATGGATGCCAGTCCTGCTTACATGCACAGTCATCTTAAAAAAGACCCCTTATCCTCAAATATTAGTAATTGCTTTTCTTTCTATCTTGTGATGGTTTTGTTTACTTACTTTCTAAAGCCATATCTCAAATGTATATAATATAATCATCCCAAAATTATCATGGCTCATTGTAAAATGTTCCTGAAAATTTAATCTCCATTCAGTGCTTTTGTAAATGATTTGTAAAATGTTATTACTTACTTGCCTTATGGTCTATTCACTTATGTGTACATGATAGTCATAACAACAGATATAGAGGAGCAGAGGGGAACAAGGTAGATGAGAAGAGAAAGAGAGATGAGAAGAGACTAGAAGAGACGAGAAAAGAGAAGAGAAATATGGGGTCAGGGGATGGAGAAAAGAGTCATACATAACAAAATTGTTAGAAACTATCTACTTTGTGAGAAGTAACCATGGAGTAAGGAGTAATGATCCAGGCAAATAGCAGATTTGAAATCATTTTTTTTAATCAAACTCACTTGCAGGACTTATGATCAGCATCAAATAATACTAACAAATAAGTAGGTTATACTTAGGTTGTACTTACATACACACTGCGCAGAAGAAAGAAGTCACCTATAATCCAGGAGGGGTATAAACTGGTGGCATGATGTCAGTTTGTTCTTAGCCAACTCATCAACTCTTACAATAACTCTGTTGTTGGTTTTCTACTGTCTGATGTGTACAACATGAGTCAAGTCCATTTTCATTCATTGAGCTGAAAATGAAAAAAAAAAATGTTTCCTAAAAATAAAACCCTGAAGTAAATTTTTCATAAAGAGTAAAATTTGAATTTTCTAACCTACATTATCGCTTTCATCTGAGTGCCCAGAACTTCT